ATTCCAGCCTATTCAATGTAACGAGAAGTGCTCTTGTTAGAAACTGATATTCCATCGAAAAAACCACAATAAATACACAATGCTCACCCCTCAATGGCTTGATAGCGGAGAATTTTGTTGTGTCTAGGTTAGCCTTCTTCATTTCCTCCAAGGTCTTTGGATGTTTAATATAAATATCGACCGAGTAAGTGGCACGGTTTGTCCATGTGGATGTAGTACTACTTTCTTCATAACTCGGTATGGCCACCAGATAGACAGAACAATATTCCGGATTTTCTTTAGAAGTCTTCAATGTTAGGAAAAAATAATGGGAATTGAAAAGTTGATTAGTTAATGGAGAAAAACGCATTCATGTAACATTTAGGACAGAAAAGATTCATCGAAAGTCGAGCATTTAAGAAGATGGTATAATACTAAAACGCAGGTTTCACCGTGGTATGCGCAAAGGAAATATTTTAATGTCTGCGACTTTTTCTAATTCTTCCCTTCCAATGGATAAAACATGATATAAAAAATAAATAACATGCACATACCGGCTTGAACTTGAGTTGCCAAAAAGTATCAAACGAGGTGGCGAAAGGGGGACTGTAAACTTTAGTCGCCAGGTTATTATAGTTTAACAACGTAAACTCAAAGCCACTTCTCGCCTTGAAAGACATGTTTTCTTGATACTCTTATTACTTTACCAACAATGACCTTTATTATTCGTTTAGGAAAAAAAAAAACCGAACTCGAAACGAACGAACGAATAAAATATGTAAGATACTATTTAATACTATATGTGTAAGAAAATAGAGTATGTATATTAGTGTATTGTTTAACCTTGAGCATATGGTAAAAAAAAAAAAAAAAAGAGTACAACCAAAAGAGGGAAACTTGCTGAGAATAGAAAAAATAGAAAGCGTTTAAGGTTGGCTTTACGGTTATTTTCGTTGACGTAGTTTTTTTCAGTTTCGCTTTATCATAATATTATTGTTTTATTACATTGATATAATAAATTACTTGACTTTTTAAAGTAAAGGTAAAAAAAAAAAAAAAAAAAAAAAAAAAAAGCTTGACTCACTTTATTTCGTAATATCAGATATAATAATAGATTACAGATAACAATCCAAAGCACTATTTAGCCGAATTTTTTCCACTTGTGTAGGTCGAATGACAAAATTAGAATAATCAGCCTCTCACAAGTAGTGCATGTTATTTTGTGTCACTAGATGGCCCATTACCCATTTCTCAATTCAGGCAGTTTTTCCGTTCCATTATTTCGTTATTCCATTTCACTTTTACGGACTGTTCGACAAACAAATGTTCGAACGCGTTGTAGAGCTTCCCAAAGCATCTCTCCGGTTAGTAAACAAATTTAAAGGGTCGAATGGCGTGTAAAGGGATAAAAAATAAAAATAAAATGAAACAAATAAAATAAAAAAGATCAAATCTAAATTCATCAGAAAATCTCGATTACTGTATCTGTTACCGCTGACATTATCCGAGGGATGGTGTGGCGATAAAAGTCTAGTGATTACCTACTCACGATTACGTAATCCAACTTAACCAATCACATCCGATTCTGGACACTCCTTGATTCATGAGAAATTTCGCGCGTTGCTCTGTGTTAGGTACGATTGTTTTATTGGATCATTAATTCCTTGCAGACGATTAATTTTATTTATGTATGTACTTTTTTGACCAATAAATTTTTTATAGTATTTGCTAATAATATAAAATTATGTCGGAAATTTTATCAACAAAAATAAGTGTTATATGAATTTACAGTATGTGTCTTATTTAAATTATATAGTTTACTTAGTATTTATGGTATATTGTTTAATTGATATACAGTAATACTTGTATTAGTATAAAAAGATGATAATTTAATTTTTTATAGTTTTTTGTTATTAATTAAAGCAAATTAAAAAAAATATATTATTATCAATTCTTATTATTTAAAAAAACATTTATATACTGTAACTAATTTTTATAAATCAAATAAATTAAAATATATATATACAATATTTATAATAATTTATTAAATTAAATTGATAATATTGATTGACATGGCTTGTCTTTATTATGAATTAATAAAACAATTACAATTTAAATGAAATTTCTTTCTCTAGATGCAACTTAAGGAATGATATTTTGCTCCCTTTGTGGTTTGGATTATCCTTTAACTATGAAGTTCAATGCTTACAGTTAATAGCAGGAAGAGCATGCAGACCATATTTTTTTAACCTCAGAGTTCAAGAATTATAGTCTTCGAAATAAGCAAGAGAAACTGAAAATGAGCCATGGCAATTATCAGAAGCCGTGATAAGTGCAGTATATCAGAAAAACCTCAAGCCTCTGATTTCAAGCCCATCATTTTCGAAGCCAGACCCGATCCAGAATTAATTATCAATCCGTCTTAGAGTACCTTCCATACTTGAAATTCGGAAATAGTTTCAGAGGGATTGATAATTATAATTTTGCATCACCTCAGCCGTGGAGCTCACCATGTCCTATTTGCGATGGAATTATGGATTACATGGCTCATGGTACTGCGAAAATGGGAATCAGTTCCCTTATGATCTTGAATTAGCGAAGTTGTATTCCCAAGATAAGTTGGAATATTGTCTCACCTGCAACACTTCAAGCAATAAACTCAAATTCGCAATTGTAGCATAAATCTTATCATGTATAGCTACACTTGTATTTGTCTTTTTCATCGTTCATTAATAAAGTACCGTGAAGAATATCACCTTGATGCATAAAAAGTGATGTCATGATGTCAGAGACCGTGATCACGGGTCGCGCGTCTGATCATCTTATCGTTATTTTTATCACGTATTATTTTCGCCAAACATACGTAAAAAAGTAAAAATGCAATTACTTCCCGAATGTTTCGATGCTCTTAGATACCGTGGTAAAGCTTAACCTGTCAATGTGAAAATATATAGCTTTTTGGGAGCAATCGGTGAAACCCTCACTTAAGAATTTCTTGGATTTCCGCTTACAAGAAGGCGATTTGGAACGAGAGGAAACGGAGCACAGTCGACACAAAGGTGAACTAAACACCATTCTCAAATATCATGCTGAAGCGCCGGAAATTAGTGAAGAAGTGCAACAGATGTTAAGGAATTTCCAGGTAAATATTTTATTTAGGTTATACTGTCACCACTACCCTGCTGGTTGCGTGCTGGCAGTGGGAAAGGTTGCGTGCTTGTTGGTAAACAGTATTGTAAATAGTATGTTAGTATCTGTACTCACCAACTAACCTACTGGTCGTACGCTGGCAGTGGGAAAGGTTGCGTGCTTGTCCATCAGTCGTGTTTCTAGAATTTTGTCCCATTTTCTTTGCATGCGAGACGATTATTAATTATCATTTAATTTAATCTTTGTGAGGACGAAAAAAAAATAAAAGGAAATAAATAGTTTTTGTGATCTGTAGGCTAAGCAACAAAATATTCATATGAGCGTTCAATTGGTTGAGAAAAGAAAGGATTGCTTGAGAAGGAACAAGTAAGTTTTTTCGAAATGTGTGACTTTTGTTTTTTCTACACTTTCTATATCTTCTAACAACATTGTTTAAATGAAGGACGAACTGAAGGACCGGATTTTTCTCGAACAGGTTAGTATATTACTTCTACGCCTAATCTTGTGGTTATAATACCTGAAAGTTCATTCCATTTTAGACCCCAAATGTTTTGGATGCGTCGATAGAGACCCGGAATCAGTGTCTTTCGATACAAAAAACGTACACCAGAAAGCGCTTGTTGGATGAGTATAGTGATCGTACCTATAAGGAGTCGGTAATGATCAGTTCTTCAAAGTTAATTAGTTGCATGACTTTTTTAATTTTATATATTGTCTTGTTTATATTTACAAACTTTGGGTTAATCTATCCGATATGCTGCCATAATTTAAAGCAACGCCAAACTAGACACGGAAGAAATATCCCCAATTATTGCGAGTCTGATGAACCAAAATATGAACCCAAGAGGATAAGGAGAGAAAGTAATACCCGTTATTCACAGGTGACAGAATCTCAGCGATCTGCCACACTGTATTTAACCCACCGATGACTGAGGTCGCTGAATCTTCAAGCTCAAATTCAGATTTAGGAAGTTTAGACAGAACCAAGGTATCGTAATCATTTTTTTTTTTCCAGATTATATTTATATGTATAAATGATCAAATCCTAACCTAATTTTAAAACTATCAAGAACAAAAGCACAAGATCACAACATGTCCGTGATGATTCTAGTTCTCGTGAAAGCACGCTATGTCCAAGTCCAACTCGTTCAGTCACAAATTTAATAAGGACGCCTAATAAACCAATTATTACGAAGGCTACATATAATGAATATTCTTCTGTACATATAATTTGTGCTTTCAATTCGACGATTCATCTTGTCAAGGCAACTATTGGGGAAAAAATGTATGAAAAAGTTATAAGTATGCTCAGGATATTGGTTATAGATGATTCAATAGTCAAAAAGCTCAATAACATATTTAATAACGTATTTCAATCAAGTTATTCTGAAATCGAATCCATAATAATCTCGGAAACAAAGATTGACGATAATCAAACAACAGATGAGGATCGGTTTATATTCTTCATACGATATGCGTTACTAGACTTTGTCTCAAAGTTTAAGTTTATGGTGCCAAAAGTTTTGGATCGCGATATGCTTGAAAGATCTTATATCGTTGAAGTTCTGTCACCAATCCTTCTCGCATTTCACAAGCATTTCCTGATGTAAAATATATGTGGGTTGAAAAGGATGTTATATCTATCAAAGAAGCAAACATTATGTTTATGAATAATATTGGAGAACGAAAGACTGATCTACTTATTCTCAGGCTATCTGATGCAAGAGAACTGTTGAATGTTGAAGTGTCTGGGCCTCCCTATAGATCAACAAAGAAACACACGGTTGGTGATGTAAAAAAACTATTAATTATGGCTATCTGTAGTTTGTGCCGGCTCCTTGACAACAACCTTGATTGCAACATTGAGGACGCAAAAAACGTTAAAACTTATAGTATCCAGGTCATAGGAGACTGACTTACCTTGTTTTCTGTTTCTTTAGTAGGAAAAAGAAAGTATCTGGCTGTCGAACTGGCTTCCCATTTGCGTTCGACGCAATCACATGTTACATGAAGGTTTTTAATTTTTTTGCAGTTGTTCGTGGAACAAGAAGAATTACAAAAGAAAATTCGTTCCTTTATTCCAACTGACAAGTGTTCTGAAAATTTAAGAGAGTGGTTACATCTACCGGACGATGACATTTCACTTGTAACAGAAGAAGATATGGACGAAATCTTTATGATGTGAGATTCTATTTTTTTATATATCGCGATCTCTATCATTTACACGAAGATATTGTGGTTATAAATGTAGTTGAATTATTTGTAATTTCTTATGTAAAACAGTAGTTATTTGTTGCTGTAATGCGTAATTATTATTAATAAAGTACTTTTAGTCTGCTTACAATTTTTTTTGATTTGCGATTACATTGGAAATCGGAAAAATAAATTTCGTCATGTGAGGAAATCGATCACCTGATTTGCATTTATTTTTGTCTCCGGCCACACTATTATCACATCAATGAAGGGTGTGGATATTTTTTCCGGCAATCCTTACGTATTTCGCATGAGTTTTGGGGATGTGCATGCTAATCCATCGTCATTTTTATTGGTTTGCATAATTGCTAATGAAGATCCGGGGATTGTTTTCTCCTGCTGAATTTACAAGTGATATAAAGGTCCATCTTAAGAAAGGTAGTTATATTTTTTTCTGACCACGAGAGTGATAAGTGGACAGGTATGGAGAATCAAGAGAGCTTAGCTAGTACAGAAGTTCCATTTGATGTGACAGAGATCATCGCTGATGATATCAATATGGAGGATATCGTAGTTACCCCTACTCGAAGCAGTGATATAGCCGAGAAGGCAATTGGTATGAACAAATCTCCAATCACATTTTATTTAAACAGAAGTTCACAATACATTCGGATGGTCCAATCAAAGAATTTACTATTGGCCACCTGTGATTGCCTTTGTCACCAAAGCGTCTCTAAGGTTATCTTTTGAATATCACAAAAACAAGAACCAAGCTATCATGTTCAAATTGAGGTTGTAATGGCAGAGAGATCAAAACTCTAATAACTCAAGATCTCTTTAAGGAAATGGACAAACCTACAATCTTGAATGTGAAAAACACTGCCTCTAAACAAGTATACACAGAAAATGCAACTCCAGTAAGTAAGGATATCAATAAAATTTATATGAATGAACTAAGGATATTAGATAAAAAGAAGTGAAGTTTACTCAAGACTATTAAGGTCACTAAAAAAACTTCTTACCAGGCAACCAGTCTTATTGAGATCTTAGATAGTATAATAGTTAAAATATTAAAAGTAAACAAATCAATATTTAATAAAGAATATATACTAGTTCAACATATCATATATCTTTATTACAAGGAAAAAGGAAAAAAAAAGATCTATAACAACAATTTTTAAAAAGATAAATATTTAAAAATTGGTAAAGATATACAGTAAATACAAAAAATAACAAATTCAATTAAAATAACAATCAATTGATAAAGATTATTAAAATATAGAATATAAATTTGTCATAGA